TTAAGTTATTCTTCACCACTTCCTCATTTCCTTCACTTAGATCCTTGGTGTTTTATCTCTCTTGCTGTTTTTATCATTTTTTTCTTTCCTTCCCCTATTCACATTGCATTTTTTATTCTATTTTTAAAATCTCTATGCAGCCTTAATTTGTATGTTGTTTTAGAATAAAAGAATGATATCAGCTCAGTACTTTTTTAGGGCTTGGAAATTTGTTGTAGAACCACCAGATTTATTTTGCTTTTATGTAATAAAGGCTTCTAGTATTTTTTGCCAAAGTGTTTATATTTTGCTAATTCACTTCTTTCTGAGTCTTATGACAGAATTACCCAATAAAGTGGAATATGTGTGCTTTACCTGTGAATCATATCCACTGAACTTAAAAAAATATACTTCTGTTTATAAGAAGCAGGCTTTCACACACATAATAGGCTTCAAAGACCCTTAACGCTGTCAAAATGATAGATTTTAGATTCATTCCTATGAACTTTGACTCCCCAAGTTCAAATTTCAGATATGTACATAGAAGATACTTTCAGAATAATTTTACTAGTTTAAAGCAGTTTATACATTTGAGAAAGTTTTAACCGATTAAAAAAAATTTCTGACATGTTTACAATCTGTGTATTCTCATAATTTAAAGCTATTGTATCCCTGTAAAAAGTTTGTAGTTTATCAAACAGATTTTAAGTTACATATTCATAGTACTCAGCAATAAAAAAAGAACAAACTTGAGATGCACATGATAACATGGATGAATCTCAAAATCCTGCTGAGTGAAAGAAGCTACACAAAAGAGGAGGAGATACTATCTGATTCCTTTTATACAAAAATCTAGAAAGTGCAAACTAATCCCTAGTGACAGAAAGCAGCCCGTGGTTGCCTGTGGTGGGAGGGGACTGCTAAGGGACACGAGGAAACTTCTGGGTGGCTTTGCATCTGTCAGTGCTTCTCAGATTGTATACTTTAGTATATAGAGTTTATTGTCTGTAAATTATACCTCAATAAAGCTGTAAATAGAAAAAAAGATAGAAATAAAAATAAAAGGCAGTTATAGCAGAAATGGGTTGAAAATACACATAAAAATATACACATTTATAATAGTTCCTAAATATATTTTATTGGTATATTTTAAGCAGTTGGACTTTACTGAAAACTTTGTTCTTTTGCTCTGAAGTATTTTATACATTTTCAGTAAGATAAAGTATTTGATACAAACTAGCAGAAACAATCCTGGCATATATCACATGGTCCTTCACTCTAATACTTTTAATTTAAAAATTATTTTTTTCACCTTTTGTTGTTTTGTCTAGGCAACTTAAGGATAGCAAGCATCTGTTTTTAGATAAGAGGAATAGATAGTAGGAAGTAGTGAGAATTCTCTTACTCCTGAGGTCTTCATTTCTGAGAAGAGAGTAGAGGTTAGAATTGGCCTACATTCTGTAATCAGGAGTATCTTGAGGTTCCTTCTACTGGACCTTATTATATTTAGCTATGGTCGTTGGGGAGTTTTATTTAGAAATATTTTGTATTTGAACTAATTATTTCTATGAGACCTGAGGAAAGACTTGATTTTAATAAGGTAACTTTGTTAAGTTGAGATCTTAAAAATATCAGCCTTTTGCAAGTATACACTTAAGCAATGCATCTAACAGCATTTTTTTAAGTCTTAGTAATTCCAAACCCTCTTCCCCAAAGAGGAAAAAACTTAAACTATTACTGTATAAATGTGTAATACCAAATTTTAAAAAAAGTGATTATGAAATTTTTACTGAAGACAGTTTCTTCCCTTAAAGGATAAATTCTTTCTGCCAAGTTAATTTTTATAGTCTCTTCAAATAAAATTTGTTTAAATCTCAGTAATTATTGTAAATTTATCTTTTAGAAATGTTCATAAAAATTTTTTTTATCAACAGACTATTTTTCTCCCTTTTAGGAAACAAAATGGACTGATGATAAAGAATCGCTTATTAAAATAGCTGCAATTGATAATGGTCTAGCATTTCCTTTTAAACATCCTGATGAGTGGAGAGCATGTGAGTATTTAGGACCTTCCTTAGATTCTGTGGTTATCCCATTTCCAGAACAAGAAGGGAATGAAATTTATAGATATCAAAATAGCAGAGGAAAATTTACCGAGTGAAGTCTAATTATTCGTTAGGGCTCAATTCTAGGCACTAGGAATGTGCACTGCACTCTGGTCTTGCCATGTGTTGTTTCCTTATTTTTGGATGACTCTGGTTTTAATGTTTGGGCTTGTGTTAGTCTTGTAAATAAGTTTGATAGCTTTTCACTTTTTAAATTTATGTAACATGGGAATGATCTATTTCAATATTTTGGTAGAATTTTATTTTAATGTTCTGGGTAGTAGTCACTTCTAAAACAATTTAGGCCTACCTCCTCCTAATAGTGAGTAGTGCTATGTCTGCCTTATCCGTCTCTTTTATGGTTAATGGTCAGGTTTTCTACATCTTCTTGAGTCAGTTTTAGACATTATTATGTTATTTAAAATTACACATGTTATCTTGAGTTGTGATTTATGGCTATAAAGTTTTTTTGTAGAATTCTCTTATGATTAAAAAAATACCCTCAAAAATACCCTCTGTTCATATAAAATATTTAGGGGTGAAATGAAATGATATCTGGAATTTGCCTTAAAATAGTAAGTGGAGGGAAAATGGAAATTGATGAAACAAGTTTTGTGAAAATTTTGGGAATAATTGAATTAGGTTATTCAGAATATGGAAGTTCATACCTGTTCTTTTTAATTTTGTGTATGTTTGAAATATGTGTAATAGATTTGAAAACTAATCTCTGTATTCATGACTATGTCTCTTTTAAATTCCTACTGTTTATGAGTGGATTTTTTTTTCAATAGACTTGCCAAAGATTTGTCTATTATAAAGAATTGGCCCATATATATATTTATAAAATTTGTTTTTGCTTTTATCAGATAATTGGCCTTTTATTGATCAGGTTTGCAGTTTGTTTATTTGCTTTTTCTCTTTCATTGATTTATGTCTTCCATCATTATTCTTTTCTTCTATTGTGTTCATCCTGTTTTGTTTTCCTGTGCATATTTTTCTAGGTGTCATTGCAAAACCACAGATTGAATAGGTGTTACTCTATCGTTCTGCTTTTACATATTCATATTTTAAGACTTTCTTTTTGACAGGAATAATTTAAAAGTATTTTGTTCGGTTATAAATTTCTAGGTCAGTCGATTTATTTAAAAAAAAGCCATCCATTGTTATTTTCAAGTTTTATTGCTTTGTAATCTGTGAGTGTAACTATATGAATTCTGCTTCTTGAAATTTGTTAATAATTCTTTTGTAATTTTATATATGGCCAATTTGGAGAACTGTATTTGAAAAGAATGTGTTTGGGCACAAAGTTCTGTATCTCTACTAATTAAAGCTTGTTAGTTGTTAGTCAAATCATATTCTTGACTTACTTTTGACCACTTGATCTGCTAATTTTTGAGAGACGGTGAAAGGTCATTGTGATTGTGATGTCAATTTCTTCTGGCATTTCTGTGCATTTTTTGCTTTGTATTCACATACATAAAGGCCCAACATTTTATCTTGCTGGTGGCTTGTTCTTTTTATTAGTGTAGAATATATCCCACTTTATCCCTCACAATGTTTTTTGCTTTTCTTATTTCATCTGTTGTAACATTGCTATACCTCATTTCTTTTTTGTTAGCATTTACCTGTTTTGTTCTATACTTTCATTTTTAACTTCCATTGTTTTGTTTTAAGTGTATTACAAATGAACAGCTCTTAGCTGGAGATTTTTTTTACCCAATCTGAGATTCTTTTTTTTTTTATAAATAACAATTCCAAAATTTGTATGGAACCATAAAAGACCCCAGATTGCCAAAGCAATCATTTGTAGGTCTTTTTTTTTTTTCCTCTTTTTTTTTTTCTCTTTCTAATTTTTGTTCCCTTTTTTTATGGTTTGATGATTAGAGAAGTTCCTTTAACATTTGTCATAAAGCTGGTTTGGTGGTGCTGAAATCTTTCAGCTTTTGTTTATCTGAAGCTTTTGATTTCTCCATCAAATCTGAACCAGAGCCTTGCTGGATTCTTAGCTTGTAAGTTTTTCCCTTTCATCACTTTAAATATATCGTGCCACCCGCTTCTGGCCTATAGAGTTTCTGCTGAAAAATCAGCTGATAACCTTATGGGAATTCCCTTGTATGTTATTTGTTGCTTTTCTCTTGCCAATTTTAATATTTTCTCCTTATCCTTAATTTTGTCAATTTGATGACTATGTGCCTTGGT